CGGTTATACGGTTTCGGTACGGAATTGAGCATTTACCGGTATTGAAATTATTAACCGGTTAACCGACGATAATCCCCGGGGAAATAAAAGACACATCGTTTTTTTAATTATTTCGTTTAATTTCCACTTTCACGATGCGTACATCTACATAGACATTTAGATGTCCATGTTTGGCAGTTCGGATTTCCATGTTTGGCAGTTTATGTGTGACGTCCATGTTTGGCAGTTCGGGTGTAGTTGTAGTGTCAACGTCAGATCCAGAAACTGAATTATGTTTAAAATAGTCATTTACGAACAACAAGGCATTGACAACCTCTCAGGGTTGAAGTCGTGCCCATTTGGAAGTGATGGTGTTGCCAGTTGCACTGATCTGGCGTTCACTTGACACGGATGACGCAGGAATAGCATGATATGTTTCAGCCAAACTCGCCACATCAGGATATTTTCCTCCGTTTACTTTCCAGAAGTCAAGACAGTCAATTAAATCTATTTTACCTACCCCACCCCCATGTATAAGACCTACTGCACGTCGCTCGCTATTGATACAGTTGAGAAATGGTTTGAAATGTGTAATACATTTAATTTAAAACTAAAAATACATCTTGATTCGTAAGATTCTTATAAAAAAAAAATTCGTAAGATAGTTACATACTATTTCGTGAAGTTCATCAGTATGGGTTCAAATCGGTCTTGCACCATGTATGCATATATACTTGAGAAGCTACGGAGAGAGTTAGGAACAAAGTGGGGGTGGCAGCGCATTGGCATTTTATTTTACATATTTTTACCGGTATTTCGGTAACGGTACGGTTATTAGCGTGTCGGTTACCGGTACTGGTTTTCAGTACCGTTGCGACCTCTAGAAAGTGTGTTTCCACTGTTTTGATTGTTTTCTTTGTCTCAGGCTAAGAGTGGTAGACCAAACATTTCTACATCGCTCAAAAATCTCTCCGTGAAATCATTTTGATCTGCTTTAAAATATGTTAATTCTCCCTAGACATGTCCAGCCGAGTGAAATTCTGATCAGGAGTCAGAGGCATAGAACCCACCCGGCTGAAATCTTTGTCATTCCAAGTTTGTTAGTCATAATATGGTGGACTCTCTCCTGAAAGATGCCAACAGTCTCAGCTATGTAACGAACAGTCAATTGTCTATCATTCATCACCATTTGGTGCACATGGTCAGTGTTTTCCATGGTGACAGCCTTCCAGACCTTGGGTTATCTTCAATGCTCTCTTTACCCCTTTTGAATATAGCTGCCCACCGTTTCACTGTAGCAAAATATGATGCATTAGCACCTAATGTTCCAACCATATCAGTATGAATCTGTGATGGTGTTAACCCTTTCAAAAACAGTTATTGATGATGACACGGTATTCAACGTTGTCCATTTACAGGAATTTTCACAATTGTCAACTTTCAAAGTTCTATCTCAGCAGAAAAACAGACAGCATTTGAAAATAAACTAGGTAGTAAGCCATCAGAAGAACTGAAATAAATGCATGCCAAGTTGCATTGATTTTGCATTATTCCTTCATAGTTAGGTTCAAAACTTTTCATACGACCCTCGTAGAATATACCAGGGGAATAAAGTTAGCCGTACACCAATGGACATGATGGGACATCAAGTGTGTTTTAGAGTAAAATATTTTAATGAGACATGAAGGGTCAAGCTCGGACATTCCCATGGGACATCCATGTGACATCATTGCAACAATTACTGGATTTCCGGAATGGTAAATTGTGTGACGTAAAGTGCCCCACCTACCCAAAATTCATGATACCATATGAGCCATTATTTTGACCAATCAAATTAGAGATACTGATATTTTAGGAATCAATAACCAGATATTTTTTAATGATCTGAAAAAATATTAAAACCTTTGAAATGAGAGCATCTTACCATGGACTTATTGAACGACCTGGTATATATCCGATGACAGTTTTCATGATATTGATTAACGTTCTGTCAGTTTAAGAGTTTACTATTGGTTTTGATAACAGTGTACGATCTAATAGATCACATATGTTATATATCTAATGACAGTGTTCATGCTATTAATTAATTCACAACATGATTGTGTTAGGAACTAACACATGAATATTTGGATTCATTTGATAACATTATATGATCTAATAAATGAAATATGTATGGTAGATATCCAATGACAATTTCATGATATTAATCGACGTGTTACTGTCAGTTTAAGAATTAACGAATTGTTTTGATGACAGTACAGTGTATATATGTTCTAAAGAATATGTGCTAGACGTCCAAACTTATTTTCATGGTTTAGCAGAATTGTGTTTGAAACTAACACCTGGATATACGAGCTGTAATATAACAGTATATGGATGAAATCCGTATGGTATATATCCAATGATATTTTCCATGATATTTGTTATAAATTAACCATTACACGTGTTGAGGATATGGTGTAATGAATGAAATATGTAATGTAATCGGTTTTGGTAACAATATATGATCTAATGAATAAGATATGTAATGTTATATATCCAATGATTGTGTTCATGATATTACTAATATTAATGACTCAATTCATGAGAATCAACATAATCGCACCTTGGTGATCGTAAAATGGTAGGAGGGGGGGGGGGGCAGTCAGCTTCTGATGGAAAATTAAAAAAAATCCGGAAGATTTATTTTTTCAAGAAAAAGTTTACAATTGAATTTCTTAATGAATAGGCGCACGACACGGGGACATATGCTAGGTCTTCTAGGATTTTTTTGAACTGATGGGCTTCTAAGATATAAGATAAGTTGGAGGGGGGGGAAATTTCCCCATTTTTCATTCTTCAGAGGTGTAATATCCAGTTTCTTACTCAGTTACTGTGTTCATTTTTCAAATAGAAGAATTTATGTTAAGTCGTTTCACTTTATATACATATTGCTCCCCCCGTCCCCTCCGCCCCTCTTAAATATTTTCCCATCTTAATTATTTTCGATTATTTTCTATACAACGTATGGAAACTTGTTTTATAAAGTCAGAGCGTATTGGTTCAAAAACAATCTCAGAAGACCCAATATATTTTACCATACCATGCGCCTATCTATTCAGCAATTCAATAGTAAAGTTTTTATTGCAAAAAAACAAAGCTTCCTTTGTTGAATTTTCTTGCAGAAATTGACTGCTCCCCTCCGTTACATTTTCACGATCACCTGGCGTGATAATTGTCTTAGCAATTGGTTTTGATAACATCAATTTCGATTGGTTTTGATAACATCATAACAATATATGCACACATGGATGACAATGTAGGATATACGTATATCCAATGACAGTTCCATGATATTGATTAACGTGTTAGGTGTCAGTATAGGAATAAACTAGTGGTATTCATAAATGAAGTATTATGTTATATATCCAATGACAATTTTTATTTATTAACCTGTGCTTGTCCGCATCTAGAATTTCATTACAGTATATGGACGAAATATATTAAAGGAATATATTTTATAGGCCTTTTTCGATATTTCTTATATCGAAAATGTAGAAACTGATACTTGAAATACAAATATGGAAATAATATTGATTGTATAGGAAAAACATTTTATACTCCTCAAAAAAAGTTAAGGACCAGTGGTTTTCATTTTCGGTAAAGTAAATAAATCTGCATTTTGATTCTATTCTCTGTAAAGTCTGCAGAATTCAATGTTATATCTCCATTACAATGGGTCAAAATTTGATGTCAAAATTGATGAATTTCATGGAATTTTGAAAAAATGCAGACCCCATGTAAACAAATAGGAAATGGTTGGTTTGTCATAAGTCATATGAGGAACGATCCATCCATCCGATTCCTTTCAAAATTAGAATTTTAAGAGACAATTACATTTGCCAAGTTTTCCACTGGACAAAAATATGATTTAATTTTCCAGGTTTTACATAGTAAGTTAATGGTTTCAAATTCAATAATTCTTTTAATGATCCTCTTATTGAAATTTCACAGATGGTCAGTGAGGTGGTCAAAATATTTTTAAAGCTCTGTATCGCTAACTTGAACAATATAAGCGAGACATTTAGCATGTAAAATGTTAAACCATTCGAATTTCTTCTCTGAAAGTATTTTTAACAATGTTTTACTATAATTAGATATTCCAATGTTCAAACAAATATGGGGGTTAACATGTAAACCTATGAGGAAAACCACTGGTCCTTAACTTTTTTGAGGAGTATATTATATGGTTTCGTTTGCGGCATCATTGTTCACATGTTGTCATCTTGCCGATTGGGGTACATCCAAGGAAATAAAAAAATAATGTAATTTACATTGATAGAGTTTTTCTTCAGAATTACGTATTGAAATTTCATATCTTAAACTGTATGTAATTCAATAAGATCATTTGAAAATATTAGCGGCATGATAATAGGACTTACCAGCTATGTCGATAACAATGAAATCAACAAATATGAAAGATAAGTTCATAGAACTTCACCTGCGCAAGACTTAATACCTAAAAAAACTTTAGACCTTCCTCTCAAATATTGGGGAATATCAGCCCTTTAATGTGAGTAATAACTGAAGCATAGCTCGTTGCAATGGTTCACCTTTTGGACCATCCTGTATATACTGTTGTACTTATGGCATTGCTAGTATTGTTATAAACATTGTTTAAAGCGGTGATCTACATTCATCATGATATGTAATGTTGGGAACTTCTTTTGTTTCATTTACATAGTTCACAATGTGTGTTCCTGACACGTCATTAAGTTCGAGTCGCTGATAATATACAGTATTCAATTTCTATGAGCATTATTTGACGCTTGAGAGTACAAATCGTTCTGTAATCTTAACGCATTGAGTTGAACTGTTTCATATGAAGGCGGTGGTTCTTCTGTGATCTCAGGTCTAGAGAGTCTATATCTATCATCCAAAGCTTCTGTATAGTCGGGAGGGGGATCGTTTGGGTCATATTGAACTGAAACTGTTTTATCACCTTCATTTTCTAAGTATATTGGATTAAGTGTCCCCGAAATTGATAGTCGTGTCCTTGAGTGGTTTAATCTGTTTTCGTGTGATTGGTTGCTTTCTGTGTCAAAGCCACGCAACATGCCTCGTATGTCAGCTCTATCGGTGGCTCTAGATCTGTTTGGTCTAATCCTTTCTGGGGTCCGACTTCGTGATATATTAATATCTGGGACATGATTATTTACATTTGTCACCCTAGTAGAAATCTGAGGTCCTGTCGAACTATCCTCTGTATGAGATGGAGAAGAACTTTTTCTGCAACTGCTGTAATTAAAAAAACATAGTTCCGTTCTCTTGATAGATTGCTTGGCAATTTGATATGAGATATTGTGACAATAGTATGCAGTCGCTAGCTTTAGATAATATATGACTTTGAAATAACTGTCAAACCTTCGGAAGCACATGGTCACTTATACACTCCTTCATTCACATAGAAGCGTTTCATTACTGAATTCAAACAAGGAAACGCTCCGGTAAAAGAAAAAAATGGCCGTCGGAAAAACACGTCCAACTGTTTCGATAATAATGAGATGTATGTGCTCCTTGCTTCGTGTATACCATTCTATGGGTGTGATGTTAATGTTTTACTTGGATGGCTGTTGACATTTAAAGTAATTTAGAATAGTTACAGCTATAGACTTACACTCCCCTTCATAAGTTTGGCAACCTGAGCTCCCCCATTGAACTACATGTTAAAGCCTCTTTATTTTTTATTTTTTTATTTACTTAACCTGCCATGAAAATACTTACACTTTTAATTGAAACGTTATTTGACTTTATTTCCATTACCTCCAAATTTTTTCCTCAATTACAATGGGTCGAAATAGGTTGATGATAAATTTGATGATTTTTTGAAAATCGACATTCACATGTAAACCAATGGGAATGGTGGGTTCGGGGCAAATCAGAAATCAGGATATCTATTCAGTAAAAGATTCAGCAAAAATATTTTTAAAATATTTTTATATAGAAAATTGAATTGTCTAACTTTTTTTAAACGAAGTGTTTAGTTCGAATTTTCTCACGATTTCCTTTTATGATATCAAGATTTTTTTTATAATAATAAAAATCCAGATTTTCTCCCGATGTTTAAAAAAAATCCGATCTTTCCCGATTTAAAATATCTTAGTTTTATAGTTTTTTAGTTTAATATTTTAGTTTTTTAATGACAGATGTGTTTTATACTTATTTTTTTAATTAATGTACCTAGTAAATGATATGTACACGATGAATATTGCAGCAATTCCAACGAAAATGATGGACCCCACTGCAATTCCTGTAATGGCACCTATCGATAGCGTCTTCATTTCCTTGTGCTCTGAAATACAATTTTTTTATGAATGGGTACTTACATTGTCTTCAGAAACGTTTAATGTTCTCATTAACAATTGTGATATTAAATACATAATGACCTAGAACAAGTAAGCAAATGGCTCAAAATAATATTTGTGTTTGGGGCGTTTGGGGATCTACCATTTAAACAGTTTACTATCAGAAAAGTCTTACTCTCAGTGCAGTTTACTAATCATAATGAGGCTAAGCTTGCAATGTTTTTCATAACGTAAACGTGAACGGAGAGTAAATGAATCAATAAAGGTAGTTCACGCATACGTTTGAGCAATGCCCGTTCAGCTTCAGAGTTTATTTGTTTAGAACGCAAAATGTGAAAGGTCAATGTGCAGGATAGAAAGTGATTTTAGACAGTCATATATTTCACCATGAGAATTTTCTTGGTATAAAAACAGTGGTTTTTACCAAAACAATATGTTTCCTTACACTGAAGCACCGTGATAGTAAAATATCAATCCAACTCTCTGAAAATTTATGGATTAGGACCCCACCTTGTCACATTTAAAAAATGTAAGGCTTATTTTCTAAAAAGAGTATCTAGTTTTTTTTAATTTAAATGTATCAACAGTTTCTTCTACACTTTATTAATAACTTCTGAAAAGAGGATGAATATTGAAATGCGAAAAAGTTAAAAACCAAATTTCCCATGTAATATCCCATAGGGAAAATTCATGCTATCCATTGTTTTCAGCATGTTTTTGGTCATCGAAAACTAATATCTTCAAAACTTGACTTTCAATACCCTTCTACTTTTGAGAATGTTTTAGACCCCTTGTTGAATAATGTTTTCATGCAATAAAAATCAGAAAAGAAGATCTTCTTTTGAGCAAATAAGTTCAACATTTTGAAAAAATTGTTGACGAGGAGTCCCTATTTATAATTTTTCGAATTGTTCCTTTGATATTATTATCATCATGGGGACTTCACTTGAAAGAAAACATATTGTTTTAATAAAAACCACTGTATGTATGCCCAGAAAGTACTCATGGTTAAAAATATGCCCGTCTAAATCACTTGCCATACTGCACATGGACCTTTCACGTTGGTGTCAACAATAATCATTATTCTCGTGCTTTTTGAATATTATGCTCAGTTTTGATATCGATGCAAAGTAAAATTCTTTTCGAAGAAGATGATGTTTTCATGTAGGTTTTTGTTCAAGCCAGCTATATACCTGCCAATGGCATATTGCATTCTGCGTTGTAGTCTCTTTGCATAAAATCTGAAGCTGTTTATGGGATTTTGCACAATCTGCACATTTAAATTGTTCTAAACAAGCTTAGATTAATAAATAAGCAAATAAAGGACAGGGTGAACAAAACCGCTCCTAAGATAAAGCAGTGTGGGTTTGTTGACCAAGAAAGCAAGATGGCCGCTGAAAAGTTGATCAGCTCTAGAGCTTCTTACCATGTAACATGTGTTTAAAAGAGTGGTATCGATATGGAGAACTTTTTGAACACACATTTATCTTAAACCAGTCATAAAAATTTAAAAAATTTAACACATCGTCAATTTAATGGTCATCTTTTGAATGGTACCAATATTATTTGAAAAAAAAAATATAATATATACGTTCATCTCATTGTTTTAGAAAACACATCAAACACTTGTTTTGTTCTTGGTATCATGTTCCCAGAGTGAAATGAAACATCTTTCCGAACCTCATTGGAACAAAACGACATAAACACATGTTTAGGTCTCTCAAAATTGTAATGGTACAAAGGAAATTTTGGTTGATTTTAAAAAAGTATTTTGTTAATGGAATAAAAGGTTTATCTTGATTTTATCTATTTTGGGGGATTTTGTTTTAATTTTTGGAATACTTTTTTAAAATCAACCACAATTCCTTTGTATAACTATGATATTAAGAGGTCTAAAACATGTTACATATGCTATTTTGTTCCAACAAGGTTCGGAAAGACATTTTATTTTATTCTCAAGAATTGGTAGAAAGTAGCAAAAACAATTACACTAAAAATAGCAAAAACAGTTGTATCAAATATTTCTAAATAATTTTTGCATTAAATTGTTGTCAATCAGTAAACATTACATAAAATACGGTGTTCTTTTACAGAATGTTTTCAATGATTGGTTTGAGAGAAAAACATTGTTGAATTTAGTTCTCAATATTGAGACCAATCCTTTGAAGAAATTCCGTAAGTTGTTTTCATGGAATCGCAATGACAAGATTTTTCTAAAAACTTCCAAAATGGCCACCAGAATGCAAGATGGCCGCCGAAAAGTTAATCAGCTCTAACTTCTTACTATGTAACATGTGTAAAATTTAAAGTAAATCTGTTAAGTGGTTTTCCTGGAAACGTGATGACAAGATTTATCTAAAAACTTTCAAAATGGCCGCCAGAATGCAAGATGGCCGCCGAAAAGAAAATCAGCTCTAGAACTTTTTACCGTGTAACATGTGACTTGCCTCCCTACGTCACATATTGAAGGACCTAGGAATACAATCTAGTCATCTTAGGAGAGCAGTTAAGGATATTGGTACCACAGCAGAGTCATACTCACGTTGAATGTGACTGCGGAGGAATGAGAACTACAACATAGAAGCCAAGACCCAAGTCCCATCCTAGTAGGGCAAACTCCATTCCCAATCAGGTATACTTCGGAGCGCCCCGAAACCTGAGGATTAATTTAAGCTTAATTAAGAATAAAGTTAATGATTAATTTACCTTTGTCGTTATATGTTGTGCCACCGTATTCACTAGTGCAAGTACAATTATATGACGTGGAACTTTCGATTAATTCACATGTCCCGCCAATGCCACAGGGATTTCGCATTATGCAGACATCTGCAAAAAATGAACCTTCAACGGTATCTAAATAAGAACTGCTAACAGATACTAGGGGTCTTTTCAAATCTGTCAGGAGTTCTTAACAGGGCCTATAACATATTAAGGTACGATAACAAAGTTGTGTCTCGATTGCATTATAATGATTAATTTACCTTTGTCGTTACATGTTGTGCCATGGTATTCACCAGTGCAAGTACAATTATATGACGTGGAACTTTCGATTAAATCACACGTCCCGCCATTGCGATAGGGATCTCGCATTATGCAGACATCTGCAAAAAACGAACCTTCAACGGTATCTAAATAAGAACTGCTAACAGATACTATAGTCCATGGTATGACTTCCGAATATGAAAGATCCGCAGCACACTATAGCGCAGCAACATTTGAAGCAATATTTATGGAGGCGCATATGTCTTGATTCTTTTAATATACCATTCTTTTATACATTTTATAAGACACATACTGTTATTCTAAGCATACGAACAAAAAATAGATTATCATAATGCAAAACTATACTATAATTTTACTGTAGATGTCGGTGTGTGTAATTTTAAAGATGAGCCAAGCAGATTCAATAAAATTATGTGGACTATTTAGTAATTTCTGATTGGGAACATATTAGCTTTCTTACCATTTAAAACCTTTTATTACCAGAATTCTTCCATATAATCGCAAGGGGTCAAACAACAATTTATTGTTCATGTTTTATAAAACATAATACAATAACAAATAGGTAAGATTTATAACTAATTAAATGTTACAGAATTAAATGTTACAGGTATTGGAATGTTCATATATTCCAAGGGCATGTCTAATAACCAATTAGAGTCATACGATTTTTCTCAATTATTCATGAATTCGACCAAGTCTTGATGGTTGTTTTATAAGCAGCCGAGCTATATCTAAGAGAAATGGAATTTTAGCTGTAGTCCCAATTAGTCAAGGAAGAGCAATAGGCCCTCCTTTATTTATAATGTCTACCACGGAATAAAAGGCCATATCTCAAAACGTATTGAGACCCATTTTGTGAAAAACTAGTATAATTTAAGCATTTGTCATTTTAATATAAAACCGATTCATTTGTAGCATTTATTATATTAATACTTGAGAAACAATACAAAACGTTGATAAGAAAACCCTCAAACGTATAGCTTAGGAAACTGAATCATATATCTAAAATCATTTTGTATTATGTTTTGTTCCGTTGTGTACTCCAAATTGTGAAAATGGAGATTTTTATATTTTGATGATTTTTTGACCTCTGTTAATGGCAGGCATAATTCAGCCTAAAAGCCGGAAGTATATTAAACGGTTATAATAAAAATTATTCGGGAACATATCTAGGTATGACAATGTTAGGTGAAATATCGCTGCGCTATAGTGTGCTACCAGCTCCTTTATTAGACGTCCTAGAGTTTTCATATCATGGACTACTAGGGGTCTATTCGAATCTGTTCAGTGGTCAGGAGTTCTTAACAGGGCCTATAATATTTTTATTTGGTTGTGGACCCACTCAGTAAAATTACGAGTTCTCTGCACCATGATGTCCAATCAAGATCATTCTTGTACTTGTACTGAGTTTCTATGACGTCTGTTTGGCGCTCTATTGACGTAATTTATGATTGAAATCGAGAATACAACATTTGAGAAACAGTAACAAAATTGCCTCAAGAGACTCTAATCTACTTGACCAGTGTTTTATTCGAAGATACATTGCATTATTAAGCATGTAAATATGGTGAACGTGTGTACTGGACACGGAGAAAAAGCCATATTGAAAAAGATCTATATTACAGTTTGTGTTGTCTTTGTATTGGCCAGATAAGGCCAGATAATGACAAGCAAACTGTTCTCCACTTTGAGAATATTTTGAACGCGATAACATTATATGGATTCGAATGCGAAGGATGTCATGAACTTTTAAATGCTCTATTATATGAATCAGATTCGAATTACATTTTAGGTTAATGAAATAAATGTGAGATTGAGCGATTTGGAACAGATGGGTGCAAAATTAGAGTACCGTTTGTAAAGATAGTAATTAAAAGCAATGTGGAATGGCATTTTTGTTTCACGGTGGTTGGTCGTAATGCGATCGATTTTGCATTGTAGTGATAGCAATTCAAAGTAATTCTTTATCAAAAATCTATCAATACTCTTCAAAAACAGAAGAACCCTAGTGGCTTCGAGGAACCTAAATCATAAAATAGGCCTGTGTAAAGTTTAAAACGATTGTTAGGTTTTGTTCGTTGCATCTCTTTCTCTAAACCTCTCTCTTGACATATGTCGCTACTTTAGTTTAGTCGGATATCATTTTTGGATATAAAAGACAGACCCACCTCTAAAATTCTCTAACCTCTCTATGGCACCAAGAGTCCTATCATCCATAACACAAGTGTGGTAATGTTTACTATGTTGAACGCATTTTCGAAAAGGGGCCTTACATGGGGAACCAATCGAACAGGAAGGCCGGGGCGCTGAAACATTGTAAACCCTAATCAACCCAGTGTTCAAGAAAATCATTATTACATCATATCGCAACCAGATATACCTTAAATTATAATACATTATCAGGCCAGTAAAGATGATTTGCAAATGGTGGGGGGTAACATTTTGAAAAATTCTATGGGAGTTCAATTTCAATTCAATTATTCAATTCAATTCATTCATTCAAAATTACATCATACAATATTTCATCAATAACATGAAAAAGACACCCCAAGGGGCGTATATATTCCATAGGTCATAATTTTTAATAGTAATGTTTTAGTCATAGATCAAAAGCTAAATTAATCAGAATGAAAGAGGAAATGGAAGCATAGGATATCATTGGTATTTACTGATAAGATCATTCTTTATAAGTTTTTCGAATTTCTTAACATACTTTGCCTTTTTAAAGTCTATAGCAAGTGAGTAATAAAGTGTTGCTCCTCTAATAACAATTGATTTCCACCAGTTTCAGTTCTAAAATTATATTTGTATCTGGTATCATGGATGTATATATCTGTTCTCTCTTGAAAAAAGGTTTAAAGTTACGAAATGAATAGTCTGCAGATTCTGTTACAGTTTTCTACTCTACTATACCTAGCCCCTAGAAATGCATAAGATACTCTGTTTGTCTAATTGAATTGTTTAATATATTTTTGAAAGTACTTTATTAACATCTTACAGTCATCCGATAAACCATTAATAAGGACAGACAAATAAAAACAAATAAGATAATCATTACTGATAAGCCAAGTGGGTTGCTCATTAGCACCAAATGCAAGGTATAGTTGAGTGTTTCTGCACAAAAGTGGGCGTTTGACATTTATCTATGTCAAAAATATTTTGAACTTTTTGAAGATGGGACTTGCATGAGCAGTTCTTTCAGAATTTGTCATTATTCTAGAAATTTATTTTGCAAAATAAATAGTTCTTTAAGTGATTTTTTGTTGCATTGCCCCATAAAATGTCTCCATAACATGTATATGAATATACTAAAGAATAATAGGTAGTCAACAAGGCATTCGATGTTGATTTGTGTCTAGTTTTATATACGAGGGATGATCAATAAGTAATGGACGCATTTTTACACAGATACTTATATAAAGATACTTTATAGACCAATCCCTTTGATTTTCTCACCAGTGATACATCATTAAATTATCTATCAATTCTAAAGATTTGAAGACAAAATATGTAATGCATGTTGATATATCCTTATGTCTGTGAAGGAGGTGCAGGTACCCCAGGACCGACATTTACGTCACATATTTACTTTTTAGCCAGTTTGGCATATTTCAGTTAGATTTGAACTTTTTTACATGCAACAAGTGTTTTGTTGTTTGAAATATTTTGCTGACTGGTAACACATAAACGATAAATATTGTGATGTCAGTGTTGTTTAGTCGGGGTTCCAAGTCAATCTAATGAGAAAACATTGTGAAAGAAGAGTTAGTGAGGGATGGAACACCCTACTCCATATGCACAATGCACCTAGTCACAGATCTCAAAATATTCAGAATACAATATCCCTGGACCTCAAAACTGAGCCCTTGGCTAATGCACCATTTTGTCTAGATTTGCCCACATGCGACTTATTTATTTCTATATTCGTATTACTACTTATTTATATAGAGAAAGGATGCAGATTTAATGATATCGATGAAATTAAACAACCTGTGCAACTGCATCTTCTTGCTACCATGTCAGAGAATTGATTAGGCCTTGTCTCACAATCTTCGGTTAAGAGGATGAGGAAGTGTGTACATGTAGCACTTGATGGAGCCTATGCAGAGGGCCCTGGAGGATGAATGTGGCATGAATACCACATAGTGATGATAGAATATTCTAAATAAAGTATCGCATATTAAAATGGTGTAATTCAGACCATCATGGTTAGTTTTGTTCAGCCTGCATTCAACTACATTGCATGTTAAACAAGCTAAAATAGCTTCAGAATGTGTGACGTTATGTCAGTCCAGGGGTACCTATACATCCTTCATGGAAATGAAGATATATCAAAATATAGTACATGTTTTGTTTTCAAATCTTCAGAGCTGATAGATAATTGAATTATGTATCACGGGAAATCAAGGGGATTTGTCTATAAAACACATCTGTATAAAAAGCGTCCATTGCTTATTGATCACCCGTCGTATTAATCGAATTAAATTTAAAATGTTGGTACAAAGTGCATTTATATGAGCAGCCAATGTTAACTTGGAGTCAATGATTACTCCTAAAAAATTAATATTACTTACCCTCTCTATTCATTGATTTTTTAATTTTACTTCAAAGTTGTCAATTTTGTTGATTCTTTTTATGTAAAGAATCATAAATTTTATTTTTTCTACATGAGTGTTAATCTATTAGATATCATCCAATCATGAACCTTCTTCAATACCTCATTTATATCATTTTCTAAACTATCAATGTTATCATAAGTGAATAAAATATTATGAAAATAATGAATAAGAGTGGGCCCAAAACAGAGCCTTATGAAATTCCATATTCAATATTAGAAGCAGATGATTGATTTTTAATATCAGTCATAGTACTTGGGTCAATTTCAAAATTATGTATTGTGTATTCTGTTATAATTTCCCTATTTTTAAGATAACTTTTAAACCAAGAAAGTGGGGTTCTCAAAATTCCATAAAATTTAAGTTTATTCAACAGGATGTTATGATCCAAGGTATCAGAGGCTTTTGTTAAATCAATACATATTCCAATGCTTGTTTCGGATTTGTCTAAACCTGTGTTTATGTTTTCAATAAAATTTAAAAGAGCCATATATGTGGAATGTTTTTATCGGAAGCCATATTGCTGTAAATAGAGTGAACGTTTTTCTAACATTTTCGCAAAAACACTAAAAATAGAAATTTGTCTGTAGTTAGTGAATTTATCTTTAAGTCCCTTTTTAAATACTGCAATAACTCTAGCGATTTTAAGTCCATCTGGAAATTTACCTGTAGAAATTGATAAATTGAAAATTTGTGCAAGTGGAGCTGCTAAAAATTCATAAGGTGATTTTATAACTATTGGTTTTATACCGTCAATTGAAGCTGCAGAATCTTTTTAAATTAGTAATTTATTCCTGTTGTGACATCATCTATTTTAAATGGGGTAATGAACAGAGAGTTGGTTCATTTTTCTCATGTTAATCATTGGGTCAATGTTAGTCTTAATCCGACCAGCAAGTTTTTTTTGCTAAAGAAGTGATTAAAATGGTCTGCTATCTCTTCTATTTGAATTGATTCGTTTTCTTTTCAATATGCTATTAATAATACTCAAAGATGTCTTTATATTATCTTTGCTCTCTTCAAATTTATTTTTATAAAATATATTTTCTGTATTTCTAATAACATGATTTAATTTATTTTTTACCTAGTGTAAACCTTCTATTTTGCAAAGCTGGATTTTTTATATTTGATGTAAAGTTTGATTCTATATTTGGCTGAAATTATCATCCCTAATGTTATCCATGGTTTATTGTTATCATTAAAGGTTTTAATTATTTTGTTTTTTATAGGAAGACATGTGTTATATGTTTTGGATAAAATATCTAAAAATGAATTTTAAGCAGCTAAATACAAGGAGATTCATCATAATTATCCCAGTTGATCAAGTTATCTCATTTTTAAGTCTACTAAGTGTTTCATCATTAATAACGCGATATTGAATGTTTCTTTTTTAACACAATATTTTGTTCTATCATTAATTGCAAATATTGGGAAATGGTCAGAGATATCATAAAGTAATACACCTGTTTGAGCTATGTTATTTGCATTTGTAAAAGTGTAATCTATAAGTGTGGCAGTAGTTTGAGCAATTCTAGTAGGTCTATATATCAAAGGTATAACGTTATTTGAATGCAAGTTACATACAAATACATTTGTTTGTTCATGTTGATTTGATTTTAAAATATCAATATTAAAGTCACCTAACATATATGAAATTTTATCTTCTGCTACAATTTTCTCTTGCAGTGAATTAAAATCTATATTAAATAGCCCAATGCTGACACATTTTACAAATTCATGTTGCAGCAGATAGTTGCCAACTGATATAATGGCATTGGCAATCCTCTCCGGGTCTGAATCAGGGATGTCAATATCATTCTCTCCCATCTGGAGATAAATCAGCTCTGGTGCAAGTGTCGATATTTTTTATACAAATGTGGAAGGAGGTGTTTTTTCTTGTTTTGAGATGATGATGTTAGAAGAACCCCTCCCCGTATACCTTGACACTCGATTTCAAATTCTGATGCGTTTAATTGAAAGTTAGGTGAGCTTTTTTTCAGTGAAGTTCCTCAGCCAATATATGAATGATTGTCCGAATATGAGAGTCTTTACCGCTGCCATACTAATCCCAGCAGAGTACAAATAGGTTAGGTGTTGTAATGTACACTTACCAAGTTTGCTGATAAAACTGATTTCCTAAGTACTCGTAATATCCAATTGTAAGGCTTGATGATCTGTGTTTGAGTCAATGCTCCTTTTTATGAATTTAAAAAACTACTACAAAAGATTTTTACTATAATATAAATCTATAAATATATATATATAATGACTATGAAAATCAGTTAAAAATCTATTTCATAAATGTATCGATATCTAGGCTCTAGGCTGTAAGTTGAAATATCTGTGAATGAGACTAGGTAGTTTGTGAAAACAGAAACCCTAGAGCCTGGAAGATTCTGATTGGTTACTGATGTTAGAAGTTTAAAAGGTTAAATATTGCATCGCCACACAAATATCCTAATGAAGCATTAGGGTCATTTAAATTTTTTAGCATTGGGTGGTTTATATATATACCAGTAACAAGGATATTTTTACCAGATACCTGCTCAATTTCGATTGTTAAGGATTCACATTATTAGTGTTAACTCAAGATCAGTCCTAACTTTAAGTGAATATTGTTTGTCAATATTGAGGCAAATGCCCCCACTCTTGAACCATTCCTAGAATTAAAGACAGAGTTGTATCCATCAGGTTTATAAAGTTTTTCAATGTTGGAATTAAGTCATGTTTCTGACATGGCAATTACACAAAATTTAGTACTGCTCAATGATTCAAAATTTGAAACTCCCAGTTATTTTTTGGAAGACTTCTCATGTTGACGTGAGGCCTGTCTCACAGTTGAGTTAAACGGGTCAATGTTAAAAAGAATAGGTATCGATATGGTCAACTGAATTGAACAATGTTTTTTCTCTTAAACCAATTATTGAAAACATTCTGTAAAAAGACACGGTCCTTTATGTAATGTTGACTGATCGGCTACTTTTTCATGCAAAAATTATTTATATATATTTAATATAACTGTTTTTGTTAACATTTTTTGTTTTTTTAGTGCAATTTTGTTCCTTTCTACCAATTCTTGAGAATGAAATAACATGTCTTTCCGAACCTTGTTGGAACAAAATAGCATATACAACATTTTCATAGACCTCTCAATATTTAGTTTTACAAAGGAAATTTTGATTGATTTAGCGAAAAGTATGCAAAAATCTAAAACAACCCCCCCCCCCAAAAAAAATAGATAAAAATTAAGATAAACCTTTCATTTCATTAAATAATAAAATACTTTCTAAAATCAACCAAACCTTGCTTTGTACAATTACAATATTGAGAAACCTAATCACGTTGTGTTTATGTCATATTGAGCTTCGGATATATCGATGTTTCATTTCATTCCGAACATATGATACCAAGAACGAAAAAAGTGTATGATGTGTTTTCTAAAACAATAATATAGAGTAAAAATATATATATACATAATTCAAATAATGCTACCATCCAAAAGATGATCATTGAATTGACGATGTGTACAATTTTCAGAATGTTTTGGTAACTGGTCTAAGAGGAACGCGTATTCAAAAAGTTCACCATATCGATACCACTCCTTTGCACTTTTGAGCAATGTCCTGCATATCTGATTGTGCATTTCCATTTTAGTCTTTAGTTGCGATTCTCCGTTCAAAATAAAGAGGGTCAACAATTAAAGATTCATAAAATCAAGCTGATTTGTGTCTTGAGAAAATCAACATGGGAACAGTTGGCAAAAAGGCAATACATTTAAGGGATTATCCATTTTCATTAAAAAAGGCAATTAAAACCATATGAAATTATGCTTCCATTATGAACAAAGAACAAAAACAGAAATGCAAGCAAAATGCTCATATGAAATTTAAAAGTAAGACAAAAACAAACATTGTATCTGTTGAGCATACCAACCGAATCCATAGGAGCATAATTTAATACAGTTCACTTTATCAATGATTGATGTTTGTTGGCAACGGCCAAAAAAAATCTGCCATGAAGGTCCAGGGAACGCTGTTTGGATATTCGACTCAGTCTGCTGCACAACCCTAAAAACGATCCCTTATTGAACTATTATCATCAACAAGCTTGACACATTATTTTTTTAATTCATCACATATCGAAATTATACCAATCATCTACGTGCGATAATTAATACATGGTCTTGTTTTCAGAGGTTGTGCAGCATACTGAGCCAAACATCCAAACAGAGAACACAGTGGTTGGTGAAGTATTTTCCATACCAAGGGGACCTAAATATTAATCGAACTGTTTTCCAGGTTGTCAGTGGTATCATGGTATCATGGGGACTTTCCCATGTGTTATTGTTGTATAGTACTGATAGTATATAGTATTTGTGTCTACATTTTCCGCCATTCCAACATGGATTTCGAAATTGGCAAAAATCTACAAGAAAACTTAGGTATCAGAAAAGGGGTTTAGAATTATGTCCTTTAAGACCATTCAATTATGATTTACATTGCTATATTCTTTGTAGCCATCGTTCACATGATCATATTTACCACAGTTTACACCTTTTTTACCAACTAACCAACCGACCAACCAATTGATTAGCCAACCAACAATCCGCAGCGCTTTGTTTTACATCCTGCTCAAATTCCATTGAGATTGGTGCAAAATTAAGAAAGTTTCGTATCTTTCACATTATTTATTGGACACCCTGTATAATTCTATTTTTCATTACTAAGAATCGGATTTTAATTTTGCTTTTAAAGGACAGACTTACTTGTCCACTTGCAATCGGGTCCATAATATCCATAATCACAGTAACATAACACAGGCCGAGTTCCATCCAGTTTAAAGCATCTTTTGTTTGGGCCCGTGCATCTTGAACAGGAACGCTGTATCTCTAAAACTTAATTACAATCATTGTTTACCCTTACTTATCCCAGTGCTTGAGAGTAAAATCATTTATTACAAATACTTAATTTTGAATAATCGCTTGTTTGTTTTTGTTGTTGCAAGTTTTTCTCACCCCAATATTTTCAATTTTTATTTAAACTGAATGGTATAAATACATTTGGAATATATACATTCTAAAACATATATGGCAAATCAAGTAAAAGGATGTACGTTTTTGTACACCCTGGGTATAGGGTATACTTCGCAGAGCATGGATGGAAAATCACAACTAATTTCTAACCTACTAATGAATAAAAACTCAAATATATTATCTTCAAAATATTCAAAATGTGTTATCAATATGTGACACTTTTAAAGGACTACAGAAGGTATCGCAACGGATTTTAGACAGTCATAAGCTGGATTTTGGGTATTTTCTGAGGAGATGAACAGGTACATGTGTTAGGCTAATGCATTAACTCCAGGATAAGCACTCGGAGAGGTGATAAAATAATTTAGACTTTGAGACGCTACAACCACATTTTTCTGAAATGTCCTGATTTTCGGAAATATACACCCTGTTTTTGAATGTTTGATGCATAAATATTTGTTTGCGTTTTGAAACAAAGTTAATCTATTGAAATGAAAATGGATTCATTTAGGATAAAGTGGAAAACAATATTTCCCATGCTATCTTTCCATAGGGAAAACTCATGCGATCCATTGTTTTCAGCTTAATTTTGGTCACCAATAATTGAGATTTTAAAACCCCTGCAGGAATCATATTTTCCTTTAAAGGAACATTCCTGGCCAAACCTTTTCTATCCTGATGTGATAGCTATAATCATATATATACTTTCCATATTTAGCAAAACACCAGGAAATGTTTAATATAGTCAATATTAATAATTTAAAAATGTAGTGCTCATTTCCAGTAAGCTGCCATCTTTTAAGATTACTCAGGAAGTGTTGTCATCGACTCTCAACTTCCATGACCTTGCATATAACAGTATATGGAAGTAGCACAAAATCACTTCTAGACAAGTGGTTCTTACTTTATGTGCAAAAATATTTTCAGAGTTTGTCAGATTAGAATAATAGAAGAGACTTATAGAAGGATTAAATCATAGACAAAATTGAAAAAGAATGCACAGCTGGTTTTTGTAATTCTTAATAGCTCCTTATAATGTTATATGCAAAGTTGAGAGTCGATGACATCACTTCCTGGGTGAAATACTAAAAGATGGCAGCCTACTGGAATTCAGCACTACATTTTCAAGTGATCAATATTGACTATATTAAAACATTTTCCCCTGTTTTGCTAAATATGGAAAGTATATATATGGTTATAGCTACCATATTAGGAGAGAAATGGTCTGGCCAGGAATGTTCCTTTAAAGAGGTTGACCGTGTTTCAAAACACAACATACTGATGTATCCACCATTGAAATAACAGGGTTTAAAAGGGCTGAAATCAGGACAACATTTCAGGAAACATGTTGGTGGGGTCTTTGCACATTCCCTGTCTCAAAGTCCAAATCATTTTATCATCTTCACCAGTGCTTGTCCTGGGAGTAATTATTATTATTTTATCTTGGTTACCGCCATATTTGGTATATTCCGTATTTTTCGTACCAGAAACCCCTCCTTGGGGGAGCCCTGTGTTCTTTTGTGTGCACAGGTACACGGACATACAGGTACACACCACAGCCTTTTATACGAGTCGTGAACCACTCAGTCAAACACCCAGAATTACATAACGCAGAAACAAACTTGTCTGAACCGGAAATCGAAACCGGGACCAAGCGATATTGGTAACCTTGACTGTGCCACTGAGCCATAGCGGGTAGAGTAATGCATTGGCCTAACATATAAACATGTTCAAATCCTCGGGAATAGCCAAAATCCAACATATCACTGTCTGAAATATTTTGCACTACCTTCCGTGGTCCTTTATAAACATCAATGTATACATTTTCTTAAAAGCCATTAGTTTTGTCAAATGAAGTACATGCCTTGGTCATATTTTAGAAGATAGACATGACAAAGAATAATATAAGAGCGCAACATCTTATCAAATTTAGATTTTTTGTCAAGAGTTATTTTTGGACTTCTTGCCAGCTTGTTAGATCAGATGCTTCTATTCAGCTAGCCTAGTTACTAGGACTTTTATTCTCGAAAGATAAAAATCACTTTTACAGTTTACATTAATAACATTAATTTGCAATATTGCTCATTATTACCACCTTGCCGGGCCAGTTCTAGGGGTTTTAGTGCTAGTTTAGAAGGCGCTCATTTTACTATATCGACCTGAGAAATGTGTGACGTCATAGTGGTGGTCCATATGGACCGGTCTAGAATATATTCTGGACCGGCAATTTTCCCCGGGAAATTAGATATCGTTCATTGCATAAGATTTTCTTGCTGTTTCAGTCGTGGTCGTTAACGGTGGTAATAATACTAATAACGTCATTTCTGCGAGCAATATGGCGCAATATTGGACCTTTGGCCTTCGGCCCTCGGTCCAATATTTCACTATATTGCCCTTAGAAATGACGTTATTGTACTATTTTTCTTCGCTCTACTTAATTTTGGAGTGCACAAGGGAACAATTTCGAGCCCAACCACCAACTTACGTGCTGTAGCGATCTGTGTTGTAATAGCTATCAGTATGATGACTTGTGTAGTCAGGAGAGGTGTACAACTCAGTGCAGATCGTTTACCCGGGCAGATCATCCTTTCTAAAAAAGTACCAGCTAAAATTCAGTCGCACTTTTAAAAAAAATAGGGAACGTACTAAGCAATGTTTTTATCTCCACGGTCCTCACATTCATACTATCATTAAACAATCTTGATTGATACAATGAAAACCTTTTGACTGCGTTAGCGACTCCTTGAACTTGTTTGAGAGCCTACAAGAAACTGAAACACATATGGTATCGCTAGCCACCCACCTTCTTGAATGATTAATGAGTATAGAGCATGGAATTCTTTCTTCACATAAACAAGGTTTAATTAAATTCAACCTCAATTTATGACAAAAAAACTCCACAGCACAAGTATATATAGCAATCAATTATAAGATACAATTATAGTTCTGTTTAACTACAAACATGCATAAATAGGGAACAGCTCCACGTAACATAATATAATATGCACAATATACAATATACCTAACAAGATGGATGCATCCGAAACCAACTTGTCTTCCAATAAACTATTTCCTGATGCAGTCATCGTACACAACTTTGTTAGATATATTGTATTTTGTACATATATCATGTTACGTGTAGCTGTTCACTATTTATGCATGTTTGTAGTTAAACAGAAATATATATAATTTTATCTTATAATTGATTGCTATATATACTTGTGCTGTGGAGTTCTTTTGTCATAAACTATATTTTATTTACCGACGATGCTTTGTATTTTGTCTTCACAGTGTCCTGACTCTATTTATATATCTGTTTTTATATATCAGCTTTAAAATACAAAGTAGCATTTGTGTACCAGCCAGGTTCAATAAAAATACACTGTTTTAAACTACTTATCTACATTTATTTAAATATACCCTAGGCCTGATGGCAGTTCAAGACTACAGTAAAGACACGACATTATAAAAAAGCCTGAATTATGAGCTATTGGAACACGACGACCTACCTTATACATTTAAGTGTCTAATTTTTGTTTTCTCCTCAAGCTTGCCAAACATGAACGGGCTGTAAGAAAAGGGGAATGCTGCAGGTGTAGGTATACTTATGGGTCAACATCATCAAAACCCATTAGAATATTGATCGTAAGTCCTAGACGATTTCTATATTTATTAGACTAACATCGTTCTTGGGAAAAGGTTGGACATGGTTTCGGTAACTAGTTTGAAGAGTGCGTGTGTCGTCGGTGTAATGTTCATGTTTTAAATAGTAATTTACAGATTGACACATTATAAACCCAGCAAACAGTGACGTCCATGTAACGTCACTCATATGTGGTATATAAGTTCACTGGAGACGTTGTATATTTCCGTTATATAAACGTCAAAGCAACGTAAAATTGTGACATTCAGCAAAACGTCGGTGGATGGTTAAAAAATGACGTTGTAGTAATGTGTTAGTAAAGTTCGAAATTTGTGCTGGTGTGAAAAACGTAACAATGACGTTGAATTTTTACCAGTTTGGTTCATTTGCAACGTTATATAAACTGCAAAATTTAACGTTGTCGTAACGTTTTTTAAATGTGTAAAATATTTGTAAGTGCAGGAAACATTACAAAGACGTTGCAGTTCTCACCAAATTGTTTCATTTGCTACGTAATATAAACGGTAAAATTTGACGTTGTCGTAACGTGTTTTAAATGTGAAAGATATTTGTAAGTGTAGAAAACGTTACAAAGACGTTGTGTTCTCACCAAATTTGGTACATTTGCTACGTAATGTAAAGGGTAAAATTTGACGTTGTCGTAACGTGTTTTGAATGTGAAAGATATTTGTAAGTGTAGAAAACGTTACAAAGACGTTGCACTTCTCACCAAATTGTTTCATTTGCTACGTAATATAAACGGTAAAATTTGATGTTGTCGTAACGTGTTCTAAATGTGAAAGATATTTGTAAGTGTAAAAAACGTTACAAAGACGTTGTGTTCTCACCAAATTTGGTACATTTGCTACGTAATGTAAACGGTAAAATTTGACGTTGTCGTAACGTGTTTTAAATGTGAAAGATATTTGTAAGTGTAGAAAACGTTACAAAGACGTTGCACTTCTCACCAAATTGTTTCATTTGCTACGTAATTTAAACGGTAAAATTTGATGTCGTCGTAACGTGTTCTAAATGTGAAAGATATTTGTAAGTGTAAAAAACGTTACAAAGACGTTGCGTTCTCACCAAATTTGGTACATTTGCTACGTAATGTAAACGGTAAAATTTGACGTTGTCGTAACGTACGTGTTTTAAATGTGAAAGATATTTGTAAGTGTAGAAAACGTTACAAAGACGTTGCACTTCTCACCAAATTGTTTCATTTGCTACGTAATATAAACAGTAAAATTTGACGTTGTCGTAACGTGTTTTAAATGTGAAAGATAATTGTAAGTCTAGGAAACGTTACAAAGTCCTTGTTTTCCCACCAAATTGGTTCATTTGCAACGTAGTGAAAATGGCTAATTGTAACGTTGTCAAAACATGGTTTGAATGTGAAAAATATTTGTAATTGTAAAACACGTTACAAAGACGTCATTTTCTGACCAAAATGGTTCATTTTCAACGTAGTGCAAACGGTTAATTACAACGTTGTCGAAACGTGTTTTCAATTGAAATGTAAAAAAATATTTGTAAGTGCAGGAAACGTTACAAAAAGACGCTATGTCCTCACGAAATTGGTTTATTTGCAACGTTGTCGAAACAGTTAATTTTGACGTTGACGAAACGGGTTTTAAACGTGAAAAATACATATACATGTATGTGAAAAAGAACGTGACAAAGACGTTGTGGTCTCAACAAATTCGTTTAATTTGTGACGTGAAGTAAATGTTAAATATATAACGAATATGCATGTATGCCTCGAGTTGTGGTAACTTTAAATACTGATCGGTGGAGGCACAGGCATATGTTGGCTCACACAGATGAACTTAATTAACGTGGTAATTGAGAGTGAGAGTTGAAATATGATGTAAAGAAAACGTTTCTCCGACGTTGTAATTTTGCCATGGGTTATTGCTGACAAAAGTCTGACGTTCTGTCCCGGGGGGTTCACTCCAATATACCTCTTAATACCTATGTGCCGCGCCAAAGACCCCCTTTTTGAGCATTTTTTCCATGTCAATTTCCTCTCAAAATTGGAAGTTTCCATGTATTATTCCTCTCAGAGTTATAAAATTCCATATTTTCTTCCTCTGAACTTCATAGATGTCCATGTCGACTTCCTCTGGAGCTTGCCGGTGTAAAAGAAATTATGGTCCCCTGGGGATTATGGTCCCCTTTCTTAAAGGCCCTTACTGGCCCTGATTGTGGATACGATAATAAGGGAGAGTTGTATTTAGGTCACCATATAAATCAATGGAAAGTAGGACCATAATTTGATAGGACCTCCTACCCTTTTACACCGGGACTAAAGTTTGCGAATTATCGGTAAATTGACTAAAACTCCACTCTTCCGGCGATTTGTCAGACCTCGGGACAAAAACTTTAGTCCCGGTGTGAAAGAAATTATGGTCCCCCAGGGATTATGGTCCCCCTTCTTAACGGCCCTTACTGGCCCTGATTGTGTATAAGATAATAAGGGAAAGAGGTCCGTCACCATTTAAATCAATAGAGAGTAGGACCATAAACTGATAGGACGTCCTACCCTTTTACACCGGTTTTAGTCCCTTTCAACAAGGGCGAGCGTTACAAACGGAAAGTACATCGTTCGCAAATTGGATGTATTTCTCGTTCGGCTTTTTATCGTATTCTGTTCTATCAACCAATAGAAATAGAGGAATTCCCGCGTCGAAATCAACATGGAGGACAGTTCCAAGTTCAAGATATTGCTGCTTAAAAGCAACTTGGGAGCCGTACTGCCAGCTTTCGAAGGTAAGAATGATGCATGCATGTTACACAATCACCAAAGGTTAAAATGAAAGCATTCCATGGCCGGTACTTGCAGCGAGAACACAAATAATCTCATGTGAAAGTTGGGATCGTTTCAATTTTCATAATTTTTGAAATGAACTTTTGAATATTCTGATATTTGAATCGATGTTATTGATTTTCAATTTCATCACGATTTTCAATCATAATTCCCGGTTCATAATTTTCGTTAGGTCAATTACAAGGTGTCCAGGGGTCAGTTAAGGTGACATTTAAGTTAATCAAAAGTACAAAAACATGGGAGCCATATTTTTTTGATAAAGTCAGAAGATTTTGTATACTGTTTTCCTTGTATGTGAATGCATTTCCTGACTAAAGAGACACATAAAAGAAAACCTCACATTTAAACGCATTTTTCATAACTATGAATTGGAGGTGAATGTAGACTGTATCCTTCGTCTGAATAAATATTCAGACTGTACTATTTTTTTCAAGGCCTGTCTGCGTCGCTAACATGCTAAATATAAGAGTTAGCTGACGTTTGGGAGTCTGACTTACCTTCTAAAGGTTAGAACCCGAATCTTAATGAAACTATATCACCTTTGTTGCGTCGATGATGATGCATAAACATAGCATTTGATAGAAATTAGCGTAAATGCTTTTCCGACTTTTTCATTTTTCATCAATGTTGACTTCCGGGAAGGCGTTGTAGTTATCACGAAATAACGCATTGACCCTTGAACTTTACTTTGTTGACGTGTCAACCAAGCATGTCTGGTGTGAAAATTAAAAGAATATTAGCAATGTTCTACATCCGCCAAGCTAAGTGAAGTAGTCAATATTAAAAATTACCAATTTCAAGTGAAGTACGCAACGAACGAAACTGCGTGATCTACACTCCCACTATTGGTCTGAATGAAATGCTACGTAGAAATATGAGCCGTCTGCTGTATTAGTCGATTAATAGAGAAAGACCTGTTGGTGATGCTTTATAATTTAGACCAAAACATTGAAGAACAAACGAACCTGTAAATCGTGAAAACAACGAACAAATATTCGGTTTTCACATATGTTCGGTAATTTTTCGTATTGAAACTTCCGGAACTTACAAGGAAATCATTCATTTTCTCGATCCATGATTTACCTCTTGGATGTTGTGGCAAATGCTCCATGGTTGACGGAACAAAGGTGATATGGTTTCATTAAGATTCGGGTTCTAACCTTTAGAAGGTAAGTCAGACTCCCAAACGTCAGCTAACTCTTATATTTAGCATGTTAGCGACGCAGACAGGCCTTGAAAAAAATAGTAAGTCACCTATTGTAAAATGTGGTGTTGTATAAATGTTACAAATAAGTTTGTTTAATGATAAAATGATTACCTTATAAAGAACTTACAATATTATTTTGCATATTGTCCTCTTACTGAAGATATTCATAAAATGTACAGACGCTTCTTGTAGCGAAGCCATTGATTAGGTCAAGCCATTTTGGCAATGCCAATTCTCACGATAAACGAGATTTAGCCAGTGACGTCAGTCTATTTGTAAACAAATACACGTGGAGCGGACAGAGCAACATTACGGAAGCGTATTGCTAAATTCCATTTGTGCGGGAATTTTTTAGATCTAGTCATTTATTATCATTATCCCGATTAATTTTCTTCATTTATAGTAAATAGAGCGGAAATATTCATGAAGAAGGCCGAGGTAATCAAGTGGTCATGTGTTGTCAAAGTTCAAAATTTGCATATCTCGTTTGGATCTCGTGAACTCAAACGTCCTTGACATTGATTTCGCGATCTACTTATGAACACATCCTGAAGTTTCGGTGAGTCTGAACATTTCATTATTTTATATCAACTTGTACCCGCCTTATACAAATATTTTTGCTTCTAGTTTAAGATGAACATCTCTTCTACATATTCACCAATTTTCAAGGTGAACATTCTTATAATAAACGAGAAATTAATGTGCAAAAAATATCACCGCGATTTCCACAGGAAATATATCAATCATAACAGACCGAATATTATATTCGGTCTGTTGGATACATACTAGAGGTGTATGGCTCCCAAAAGCTAGCATGAAGAGTGCGAAGTGAGGCTATTTTTTGAAAGTTTCAAGGAGTAGCCTTGCAACAGACACACATTTGCAAGA